ACCTGGAAGTCCAGAATATAGCAAGAATCCTTTGTCTATGGTTCTAGGGAGCCATTTAACATTTGACTGGCATAGTTATACCAAAAGAGCAAAGAGTGCATCGGTATAACCATTACAGATTCCTTGTTGTTTCAATGTCTCTGTTTATGTTTACAGGAGTTCCTTGCTTTGCAGGTATGTACATAGTATGTAGAGTTTAAGGAAAGCTGCATGCACCCAAATAGGATGGGTAAAAGAAGGGTAGGTCTCATGATGGAGACAGCCATGACAGGGGCAGGAAAGGAAGTGATGGCAGGGGTGGAAGAGGAAGTGATGGCCATGACATGTGTGGGAAAGGAAGAGACAGGAGGTGAGGGCATAGTAAGGGCGGAAGTGACGGGAGCTTATAAGGTAGGAGTAGGCGTGACTGTAGATAGTGGTAATTGGGTGGAGGTCACGGGGGCTGGGCCAACCTCCTTCCCTTCGTGCCAGGCACCATTTTAGTGCGGTGGCTGGAACGTACTTTAAACATTACATATACCATAGCTGGTAAAATTAGTTAAATAAGCATTATCCTTTGCAAAAATAAGATACTAAACTTTGAATAAATTACCAGACTAAAATCCAACTTAAATGCTGTAACACAACGTTATCAGTGTCTAAACTACGATAAAGTATATAACTTTGGAAAATAAAACTGGCAAATTAAAAAAGACAGTTGAAAACATTATGCATTTAACAGCCCATAAAGCTGTTCATAGAAAAATGTACTTTAAATTAGCATTACTCCAAATTGTCTAACAAAATTCAACCAACTTCTCCTACTATTCATTCGTTTTCCACGTGTCTCTTCTTATCCACATTGTATATTATTCAAAATTCTAGTATTCTCTTTACAACTCATCACTCCATAATTTTCTATCAGCCTCTATCTCTAACATAGTACAACCCTCTTGTTTAACAATATACACAATATTACACAGAAGTTCTTAACTAGGATATTGTTTCCAGCAATAAGCCCATTTTTAACCTTTAGCAGTAGCTCTCTGACTATAGCCGTCTGCTCGAAGACTTATTAATATTAACGTTACATGGCTTGGCAGTCTTCCTCACATTCCTTACTGCTGCAAACGTAAGATCCATTTCTCCCCCCTTAACCAATACGTCACAGAGAGAGCCAGAAGGAGGAGGGAACACACAGGAAGAGAGAGAAACACATAGCATCTGCAGGCATGAAGTTTAACCATGTGAGTGCCGTAAAGTCATAAGACAGAAGGACAGAGACCTGCACGTTACATGTATTGCAAACAAAGAGACATTTACATAAGGAGGTTGGCGGAGATCCTCAATATGTGAAAGAGAAAGATAAAAAAAACAATAGTGCTCTCTGTATTCAATGGGGGTTGGTGATATGAAAGGTATAATACTCACATGCGAGTGAGCAGGATATGCTGCTCACTTTGAAAGCGTGGGTGGTATAATTCCCACCTAGGATTCTTGGGTGAGTAGGAATTCCAGAGTATAGAATGACCAGGTATTAAAAAAATAATAAATAAAATAACATAAAAAGGTATATGGCATTAACAGAGTATTGAGCCAATATTCCTTTAATGGTACAGATTAAAAAGAGTAAAAATCAGCCAAAACGTGTTTCGCCACACAGAGCTTTCTAAAATGGCAATCATAACATAACCTGGTATAATGGTTGTATATATAGGTACTTACAAACAACAAATCATTCAAATTTTGGCGCCAAAATGACGTCACAATTTCCTAAGAACATAAACAATAAAACAGAGCTAGGTTGATATGAGGGTGATAGAAAAGTTATTCAGAATATAAATATATAATTTCTTGGTTAAAACTAGTGTTTTTAAAACTTTAAAACAGATCATTCTTTTGTAAATACAAAAGGGTCGGTTACGTGGTTCGCGATTGGGATATGATGCGCTTATCCACTTGATCCGCCGAAGATTCTAATGGGGATTGTATGCTTCAATAGAGTAGATGTCGGCATAATTGTCGAGGGCAGTCAATGCTTTACGTGCCCGTATATAGGGGGTGGAGCTTACTGCGAGGTGGGAGCGGCCCGCATGCGCGCCTTAAACCAAATAAATTACGGGGGATGTAGTAAAAGGGAAATAGTGAAGATCAGCTTAGATTCAAAGATAGTGTCAATATGAACAGAAAAAAAGAGGCACATTGCTTAACTAGGAGGGGGAGTTTCTAGCAGCCGGTTTGAGCAGTTAATGAGCACAGGAGGGGAGGGGTTGCTCTAGCAGCCAGGTTAACACAGTAAATAATGAACACAGATGCACAGAGTAAATAGACATTTTACTATTCCTAATTTATGTCCATAACAACCCAAAGCCCCATCCACGTGTCTCAGCCTCCCCCCAAAGCCCATCCATGTGTTTCATTCCCCACCCATGCCCCTCCATATTGCACTTTTAATCTATGTGTTCTTTATTTAGCACTTTGTCCCAGAATAGCATCAATATTGTATTGATACACCTTCCCCTACATTTTTATCAAACTACAATTCCCAGTTTAGTAAAGAAATTTGAAATATATATGTTTGTATGTTTACAGCTACAGTGTCTAGACATCACAATTTTTTAAATTCGGTTAATTTCTGCAATAATTGAGTTTATTTCAGGTGTTTTTTTTAAGATACATATTGACTTGTTCCTTATCATTAATAATAAATCTAGTAAAAATAATTCCCTGAGAGATCATTGCAATCTACAGAATAAAACAGAGTGTGTTTTATTTTTTAACTTTAGAACCGATGCCAGTGAAACAGCTTGTAAATAATGAAACGACTACTGTATCTGTTTTCCTGACTTGGAATCAACCTGATGAGTCTAGAAGTGATTACACCTACAGAGTACAAATAGCAAACACCTCATCTGTTGTGATAAATCAAACAACGTCATCAAATCAACTCAATGTAACTAATCTGACTCCCGGAGTAACATATACATTCACTGTATTTACAAGAGCGGCTGATAATGTCACTGAAAGTCAATCTGTCTCATATACAACCTGCACAGGTGAGTGTAAACTGGTATTAAAGGGAATCAACATACGGACACATTACAATACAGAGTCTGACTTATTAGTCATTACAAGGTTATATGAAATGTGTTTTTAATAATGTTTATCTTAAAATTGTAACATGCAGGCGATGCTCGTTTTGAGGAACTGGATTAAAAAAAAAAGTTACTAATATTCAGTGGAGAAATAAAAAATAAAAGTATTATACCTATTGTTGCTTTTATAGAGCCTTGTTTCTTTTTATTAAAAGCTAATTCTTAAACTTTAATTATAAACATACAGATATATCACATTGTATACCTATAAAGAAATTCCTTTTACTAACCTGCTAAGAAAAACTCAGTGACGAATAAATTCTCGAAGTCCGTTACAGTCACAGCTTGACTACTTTATTTTACATTTCACAATTCTGATTCCAGGTCATAACAATATGGTGTTTAGAGAATAATCCCATAGAATTTACCTAAATTAATCTTTCTTTGTGTTTTATTTACTAGAAAGTTAATTATTTTATTTCAAATTCATGAACCTTATATTAAATGATTTCTGCTTTCTTTCAGTTCCGGGTCTGGCTCAGAATATCACAGTAACTAATAACAATACTACTAATTCACTTAGTGTGAACTGGACAATACCAGCAGGGAAAGTGGATAATTACACAGTCACTCTGAATGGAGACGTCAATAGAACAATCACAACTAATTCTACACAAGTGGATTTCACAGACTTACTGCCAGGCAGAAACTACTCCATCACTATACAGACAGCTAGTAGTAACTGCAGCCAGTCAGCAGCTCCAGTGATAGAGGCAACATGTGAGTATGATGGGATCATTGGGACAGAGCTATATCTTTACGTGGAAATCATACAAACTGAGTTCTAGTAAACTTTTTAGCTTAATTTGTATTAAGATATCATTGGATTATTTTCAGAATAATGAAACATGGATTTCTTTAACTAATTATTTTGTTGTTGTTTTTTCATAGATCCAACTCCTCCAGTGTCCTTAAATTTTACAAATATCGGAACAAACACTGTTTCATTGTCCTGGGAAGAGCCAGTAAATATGACCAATGTGACAAAGTCTTTCAATATAACTTACAGCAATTCTTCATCCTCTTTGACTGCGACAGTAAACTCATTAAATGTCACCCTTCAGAACCTCACATCTGGGACTAATTACACAATTACTGTAGTAACAGTTGGTGCTCATCAGTATCAGAGTTCTCCTGTGACCATATCAGCATTCACAAGTAGGTTTACAGCCAGAGGCACAACTAGAAACCACTGTGCGACAGTGTAAAATATACCTGGCCCACCCTCATGTGTCTCATTTTCACCCCAGCCCCTCCATGTGTCACTTTCTCTCCCCACAGAACCCCCATGCGTCTCATTTCTTCTGCCCCAAAGCCCCTCCATGTGTTTCATTCCTTCCCCCAGGCTTTCCATGAGTCTCTTTCCCCCCAGCCCCTCCATGTGTCTTATTTTCCCATCCAAGTGTCTAATTTTCCAACAAAGACCCTCCATGTGTCTCATTCCCCGCCAAAAGCCCCTCCATTTGCCTCATTCCCCCAAAGCCCCATCCATGTGTCCCAGCCTCCCCCAAAGCTCATCCATGCAGGGGCGGACTGAGAACCCTCAGGGCCCCCGGGCAAAATAAATCAAGGGCCCCCTTACAGGCCCCACCCATACTCTGCAGCAAGCGCCACCCTTGTCCCGCCTCCATGCACCGCCTCCAGCCACACCCTACACAATCTTTAGACACAAGGAACAAAAAGGCAATAAGCCCTTCGAGGCCCCAGTAGAGACTACAATTGAGGGCTAATGGGCCATGGAGGGGGGTCTTTCTAGCGGAGGCTATCTCAGTGTCCTTTACAGGGTGTGTTAGATAGAATCCCCTCCAAGCCCCATTAGAGACTACAATGGAGTCTAAAAGGCTTGGAAGGGGGTCTTTCTAACAGAGACCATCTCAGCGTCCATTAGATATCCCCTGCTGGAAACAGTCGCCTCCAGGCCCCAGTAGAAACTACAATTGAGGGCTAATGGGCCATGGAGGGGATTTCTAGCAGAGGCTAGAGCCTAATGGGGCCTGGAGGGTGGTCTCTCCAACACTCTGGTTCCTATTCACAATATAGCAACACAACATAGCTCGCTGATACCTAAGCCAAGTTGGCTCCTCTTACCTTAATTACTGTTGCTGGCTGGCAGTCTGTGGGCTTGCTGGCTGCGGCTGGCAGGCTGTGGGCTTGCTGGCTACTGCCGGCAGGCTGTGGGCTTGCTGACTGCGGCTGGCAGGCTGTGGGCTTGCTGACTGCGGCTGGCAGGCTGTGGCTTGCTGGCTGTAAGCCTGTGGCTTGCTGTAGGCCTGTGGGCTGGCTACTGGCCTGTGGGCTGGCTAGCTGGCTGGCTACTGGCCAGCCTGTGGGTTGGCTGGCTGGCTACTGGGGCACTTGTAGATTATTTAAAGAAATAATCCATGCACAATAACCACTACTGCTCCAGAGTAAGTAGTCAAACCGTTTAAGAACAGTTTGACAACTTACCTGGGGTCTGCTGGGATATGAGGCTGTAGTGGGGAATAGGAGCAGTGGTGCAATGTGTGTGAAAGGTTCAGTGTGTGTGTGGGGGTGTGGTGTGTGAATGTGTAGGGTGTGTGGGCAGTGTATGTGTGTGGCAATGTTAGTATGGGGGGCTGTGTATGGGGGTCTGTGTGTATATGGGTGGGCTGTGTATGGGGGTCTGTGTGTATATGGGTGGGCAGTGTATGTGTGTGTGTGTGAGGCAATGTGTGTAAATGTGTATGGTGTGTATGGGGGCAGTGTGTGAATGTGTATGGTGTGTGTGTGGGGGCAGTGTGTTTATGGGGCTAGAGTTCACTCTCACCACTGCGACCACCAGGAATCCATGGGGGTTACAGTGTTGAGAGTGAACTCTAGCCAGTAGCTCCAGGGCTAGAGTTGACTCTCGCAAGAGCAGTAACGTTGCCATGGTAACCGCGGCAACGCTCTGTGCTCGCGCAAGAAGGACCCAGAGGAGCTGCAGGGTGAGCTCCCAGGTCCTCTCTTCCTCCCCTGCCTGCACGGTGCCTGCGGACAGGGGAGGGGGGGCATTCTTCCCTCTCTTTCTCCCCCAACTCTCTATTCCTCCTCTTTCTCCCCGTGTCTCATTCTTCCCTCTCTGTCTCTTTCTCCCCCTCCCTCTATTCCTCCTCTTTCTCCCC